TATAAGGATAACGAAACAAGCCATACTTGAATTCTTCCTTTGGATTGATTAGATATGGAGGTGGAGCTTTAAATACTCTACAACATGTGGTTTGGGAAAGAAATGAACGAGATTGATAAGTACTTAAAGTACTTAGTGAGGTAACACTTAATTCTATTGGAGTTTTCCCATTTAATTTATCTTTAACTTTCAATTAACATTTTGGTTTCATAAGTCACTATACAATCTAATATATTCAAATTCGATTTAAACATTCCAAATTAATCTTGCATCATTTCGAACAAGAAGAAAAATCATGATCATATACAGGTAATTTAATAATCAATCTAACTAATCATACATTTTAATCTTTCCTCTATTCGAACTAGAAACAATTCACCACATATGTATTCATGCAATCTATATGGAAATAAAATTAAACAATTCAACATGTATAATATTCTTCCCTCTATTCGAATATGAACGTTTCACCACATACACACATATATATGTATAATCGAACTATGCAATTCATGTAATTATCTTAATTCTTCTGATTCAATCTTATCGTTCAATTTAAGCCTTGGTTTCTAGTTCAGTATAGATAATCAAGTCTCCAAACAATTGTTGCCATACACTTTAATCGCATCGTAGTGCTGGTCAACTCTTCTACTGTCACCAAACACCACATAATGTACCCTTCGTCTGTCTCCAATAAGTACCGTAGTGCTGGAACGTGGTCCCCCAAACACAATCGAGCTTTAGACTCTAAGGCATGCCGTTATATCTTGGACTAACTATTAACCAAGGACATTGAATCTTATTTTCCAGGAAATCATTATTTTCCTTTTCATAAAATAACCATCAAGGATTATTCCATGCCAAGATTATCCATTCAATTTCAAATTGATCATGGTAGCAAGCAATAAATTTGTTCATTCAAGGTTTCAATTCAATCGGGTTTGATCTTGGAACCATGCAATAATTCACCATTTGATTCAATTCAATCACGGCAACATATAATAGTTTATCATTCAACTTGATTCGATCATGGTAGCATGTAGTAATTCACCATTCGATTCAATTCAATCTTGGCATTATATAATAGTTCATCATTCAAATTGATTCGATCATAGTAGCATGCAATAATTCACCATTCGATTCAATTCAATCATGGCAACAATCAATAACCAATTTACTAATTAACTTCATATGTCACTCAATAACTTATATCACTTAATTAATATTTCTTTCCATTAATTTTAAGTTCTAGTATGACTTAATTTCATTATTATCATACTGATTTCATAATCAATTAAACATATAAATAAAAATAAAGGGTGGTTGGGACCTAATTCACAACCCTATTATAGTTACAGTCACAATACTCCAAGTTAGCCTTGAATTACTATTCCTTTTTGCTTATCTTCGGTAGATCCTCCCTTAGCCACTTTCTCAATTCCTTGATCTAGCAATTTATACACATCATAGGGAGTTTATTAGAATCAATACAATAGAAATTCCAACTCAATTAACTATTTGACACTAAATAGATTCTATTTTGGTTGATTGTACACCTTGTAGTAATCTGATCATGACTTTTAATTTACTCATCATATTTTCAATTTCATCATACCCTTAGAAAGATAATTCAATTATATTCCCAACCACGTAAGGATTGTATTTTAATTTCTTATGTACAATTACAGTTTTGCATTTGAAGTTAGACAATTTTACAGTGACCAATATCTCACTCTTGCAATTCGATGCACTTTGTTGAACTAATTCACTTAGAATTATTATCACTTTGTTTTAGATCTTCTTAACATTGTTTTTTTTTATCATTTCCCTATAGTTTCATATCAACATTAGCCTTTAATATTCCAATTAAGTCCTCCAAATAACACATTTTCCATAAGAGTCAAATTTTACCTATTTTGCTAATGTATCATTTACGAACTAACAATTCCTCTATAATTTAAGCCGTACAATTTAGTTTACATTCTTTTCAGTCTCTACCCTAATTTTATCTAGCATTACCAATCTTTAATTCCATCCAATTGGATCCGAAATTTCCTTAACTTGTCCAAAACAATCCTTAATCGATCTATAGCAACAATTGTGACTAGTTTAACTCTAGGGCCAAATTCTTAAATCTTATATAAATTTAAATTTCCAGTGACTTTAACCTACATATATATTTTCCAATTTATTACACAACCATTCGAATTTCTTAATTTGGTCACATGCATGCACAATTTTTTTGGTTATCACCCTTAAGGTGATAACCCATAATTTACCCAACTTGATAAGGTTCTTGATCACTTAAATCTAACTCAACATGAACACCATAATCTGTAGTATCATACAAGCCAACAATTTAAATTTATTCAATGATCAAGCTTAGAAATTTCTCAAGAATTAACTCAATTAAATCCTTAAAGTTTTGAATGGAAGGAGAAGGAAAGACTTATTGTTAGGCTATGAAATTTCCCCTAATTAATTCCATCTTGAACTAAGCTTCCAAGGTCGATCCTCTTCTTTGTATTTTCTTCATGTTCTTTATATTTTCTCCATGTTCTTTTTTTCTTCTTTCTTAATTCTCTCTAATTTTTCCCTCTTAGGTCAGGTACCAAATGAGATGAAAATGATGATATTATTTCATCCTTAATGAAGGTGTAAGTGCCCAATTTAGCCTCTCTTAATTCTTAAGTAATATACTATTCAAGGGTAAATTTAGGAATTCATGTATTTGGCATGCAATCTTATTATTTGTTACTTATTTCAATTGGATCACTAATTTGTTTAACACTTCATCAATCATTTCGATTAGGTCCTTGTTTAATTCAACTAAATTAAAATTTCAATTCAATTAGATCTTTATTTAATTCCATTAATTTAAATCTCTATTCAATTTGGTTTTTATCCTAAGCAATGTAACTTAATTCTCATAGGCTAGGATTTCGGGGTGTTACATTCTTATTGGGTGTCAAAGGTAGCCATGTAGAAAAGTCCATAGTAACTCGTTCTCACTTCTACTCAGGAATGGAAATCGATTGCAACAATCCCAAATGCACTTGATGTTCAACATTCACTTGTTGACATTTTAAGCACTTTGCAACAAACTCATTAATAGCTCTTTTCATACCAGGCCACCAATACCGACTCTTTGAATCTTGTAGATATATCTTGTTTCCAACTGGATGCGTAGTAAATGGTCTATAATGTGCCTCCAAAAGAATATATTTCCTCAAATCCTCATCATTTGGAATATAAAATATTTTTTGGTAATGCAAACATTCATCAGGCTTAATTGCAAAGTCTTTAGTCTCACCTTTTTCCACTTGTTGAATTCTTGCCAAACGTTTTTCATCTTTTCTTTGTATATCATTAGATTAATCCATTAGTGAAGGCGTTCACATTAATTTATCCATCAAACTACCATTTTTCTTTAAAGATAATTGTAGATATTAATTTTCGTCTGGGGTTGTTAAATAGTTATTTTAGGAAATATATATATCATATATTTTTGAAACGTATATGATTTTAAAATGTATATGTTCTTAAAAAATATATAATATATAGTTTTGAAAACATATATAGTTTTAAAACATATATATATATATATATATATATATATATATATATATATATAATTTTGAAAGATTATATAATTTTGAAAAAAAATATTATATTTATGGTTTTATTTTATTTTCATTTGTATCTTTACCTTTATCTTTATTTTCATTTTAATTTTAATTTTTAGTTTATTTTATTTTACAGGTAGAAATAATTTCCAATATCCAGGTTTCAGGTCTAATGCAAATGTCCTAATCTGCCTAACCTAGTTGATTGTGGGAGTCAAAGAAGGAAATCAATGCATGCTAGGCCTAGAGGCCCACTGTCACACCCTAAGGGGCTAAATTTGTTTGAAGTTAGAAATTTTAGTCTAATAATATTGTTGAGTTTAAAAGAAATATTGAGAAGAATCAGGGACCTGATTTCAAATTTACATTCCTTGGATATTATGGATTTAGGAAGCTCCAGAATTTTCGTGATACTTTACCTATTGATTGATGTAAATATCAATGTTTTTAAAATCGGACCGGACCTTGAACCGGTGAAGGTACTGGTTCACTGATTCAACCGGGTTCAACCGCGGTTGTACCGGTATATATAAAATAATATTTTTTTAAAAATTTTACATAATATTCAAAGCAATATTAATATATATATATATAACATTCTTTTTAAGTTCACAATATTAAAATGTATAAAAATACCACAAGTCATAACATATATAAGTTAAATACCATAATATCAAGTGAAACAAAATGATTCAAATCAACTACAACATAATATTTAAGGTCAATACCTAATGAAATTCATCAACAAACAAATAAATAAAAAGTACATAATTGATACAAGTATCAATCATCATAATATTCATTGAAATTGATTCCCTCAAATTCCAAAATATTGGGAAAAGCTTCTTTATTAGTTGAACTACCACCGCCATCACCACTTTGAACTTGAAAGTCCACAACATCAAGATCTTCATCACCTAGCAATATGATAAACAAATACAAATTTAAATTTAAATTCCCAAACAATACTTAACAATTAATAGTAAAAGTGTAAAACATATTAAATAATAAATATAATTATATAACTAAAATAAACAAGCAAAGATTAACCTTCATTATTTTTTGATGATTGGCCAACTGGAATTGCATTCTCATGATAAAGAAAATTATCAATCTCATCAATATCAAGCTCAGGAGGTGTTTGTTCTTCAGTTACCTAAAAACCAACATGATCAATAGATTCATAATCAATAGGATCATAACATGGCTTCTTGAGCAACCTAAAATTAAACATCACAATATCAAGAAAGAAGTTGATTAATGATTAATTGATTATGCTTAAAAGGATAAGGAAATGAAATAATATTTTGACATTATACCTATTCTTTAAACGCAAGTTATAAGTAACATAAACTAGATCATTTAGTCTTTGATGTTCTAGTCTATTTCTTCTCTTTGTATGGATGCGTTCAAAGACACTCCAATTTCTCTCACATCCAGAAGATGAAGAAGTTTGACTAAGATAATGGATTGCCAACTTTTGCAAAATTGGAGCACTACCCCCAAACAACGCCCACCATTGATCTACAATAAATAAATTTAATGATAAAAAAATATAAGTATAGAACACAAGTTATACTTAACTATTTAAGCGTAAAATATAAATTATAAACTAAAAAAATAAAGTAATATTTACCGGGTCGAGTTGTCTTTGTTACGATAAGAGCACTTTCTCGACCAAAACTTCCTTGTCGTTCCCGGTACATATTCATCTCACTAATGCCTCTAGTTAAGTCATTACAAAAAGCTCTTTTTTCAAGTAAAGAAATGGCTGCACTCATGACTCTGTTCTTGCTATAAAATTTCTCATCATAGAAGAATGCAGGATTTAAAAAGTAAGGTGTTGCATGAAGATTGAGTTTTAAATGTTTATCCCATCGAGCCTTAATAATATCTGTGTAAGGCTTATACAAAGCTCTTCTATTTCTAAACATCTCCTTTATAGCATTTTTTGCCCTTTGCATGCCTTCATAAACATAACCAGGAGAAGGCTTTTCATCCCCATCTACAATTCTTAGTAATCGAATGATAGGAGCCACAAGTTTCGCTATCGACAAACAATCATTCCAAAACTTTTTATCCAAAACAATATCACTAACAATTTTTCCTGTTGTAGTCTTTGATAATTTATGGCTAGTGAAATGCTTGTCTACAACTAAAGCTTGCAAATCATGTTTGTGATCAAAAATACTTTTCAATGTAATAAAAGTATTAGCAAAACGAGTCACTCCTGGACATACAATTTCTTTCCAACCTTCTCTTTTTCTCATCCAAGATAAGAATACCATGTGATTATAGAAAAATACTGTAATCTTGGAAGCCTTTGTGGCAAGGTCTGCAACATGAGGCATGCTAGCAAAGTCCTTTAAAAGGAGATTCAAACAATGAGCGGCGCAAGGAGACCAAAAAATGGTATCATATTTCTATTGTATCAATTTACCAGCAGCTACATAATTAGCTGCATTATCAGTCACTATATGAACAATATGTTCAGCTCCAACCCATTCAACCACTTCAGAAAACAAGCCGCATAATGTCTTAGCATCTTTTATGACATCTGATGCATCAACAGATTTCACAAATACTACACCTATAGTATAATAAATTAAAAAGTTTATCAAACATATATCAAGTATTCTTCATATGACAATTAACAGCAAACTAAAAAAATAGTGAACTAATAAGTAATAACTATACTAAAGACTATTAAAATTTAACATAAATGATACCTGTAGGACAATAAACTAGAAAGTTGATCAAAGTTCTTTGTTGTTGATCAGTCCATCCATCTGCCATAATTGTACATCCACTCTTAGCCCAATTTGCTTGATAACCTTCTACAAGTAAGCAACACTCTCTCTTGCAATCTCCCAACAAGTTAACCCTTAATTCATGATAAGATGGGCCTTTAAAACTGGGACCAATAGCATTGATTGCATCTAAAGCAGGTTGAAAGTATGGTGATAGTGTTGCATGAAATGGAATGCAGGCATCGTAAAACCAATGAGCAATTGCCATCTTAGCTTTGTGAATTGCTTGCGTGCTTGATAATACACTTTTCAAACTTGGTTGCGATCCTGGAGTAGTCCTTGGAGCAAAATAATTACTAATTTCAACATTAGCTTTTCTTTTCAATGTGGGTTGCATCTTACTCTTCATATCCATATTTGAGCTAGGTTGAACTTCTTGTGCTTCATCTTCAATATTTTGATCACCATATGCTTCATATAGGTTACCCTCACCACTCTTACTTTTTTCTTTGATTCCAACCAATAACTTAAGCATTTGGTTACGAACATCATGAGGAACATTTTTGCAAAAAATTATATTACCTGGAACCCCCGCAAGAGGTTGCTTCATTCTATTTATGCCCCCTCCTTTACAAGTCTTTCTACAATAAAGGCAAGTGTATACATAACTTTTTCCCTCTTTTTTAAACGAAATGTGAGCCCACGCAGGATCACTTTTCCCACGAGCTGTACTTGAGGATTCTGTGGATTGTTTCTCAGATGGAATATTATTACTATCTTGAGAAGCATTATCTTGTAGAGCATTCACACTTGGTAATTCCTACATGTTATAAGCATAAACTGATTAGTGATTAATAATAAATAATTGAATAATTGAGAAATTCATATGCAATTATAAATATAACAAGCAACAAAATTTGTCATAGAGGAACAATCTCACTAGCACCAATTTCAATACCCACTGTTAGAGTCGTGGAGAAGCACTATAGATAGAATGCAGGAACTCAATCTAGAACAAATAGCAAGGATAGAACAATATCACCCATCTAGGTAAAAAAACAAAACATATTGAAGCTACTTCGCCAGGTCCAAGCGACAGTACCCATGAGTTTTTGTCAATTCATACCGAGGGTGCTAATCAAAATGATATGTCTTCATGTAGACAACCTTTACTAAGTCGGAAGAGTACAAGTATTAGGATGAAAAAGAACAAAAAGATGACAAAATTAGGTTCTTTTGACAGTTTATCTTAGCCTAATGTAGAGATAAATCCTCCTATATTGGATTAGGGCCGGAAATTTTTATTTTTCCCTTCAGTGACTTACTTGACAGTAGCAAATACATGCAATGATAGCATTTTACGAATTCATGAACCGTTCAGTACCAATAAGTAGTTCTATCCCTGCAATTTTAGTGAGATTTCGCTTGTTACATACATTGAACGAACAGTATCACAAATTTCTTTTCTTTTTTGAAGTAAAAAGTGAGCAGAGACGGTTCCATTTCCACAAAACTCGACATAAAATTGAAAGTTTTATAAGTTCCACATTGAACAGAGGCTAAAACAGTACGCTAATAAAGGCATTAGTTCTAAGGTTCCTTTAATATTATGTTTCAAAACCAATAGGTCAAAAAACATGGTTCAAGCAAAACCAGAACAAGAACCAGATGGAGCTGCACTATAGAAAAAATGGAGCACAGGCGCGGGCAGACCGTTTCGATTATCTCTTGCAGAAAGCAAAGAAGCATCGCAGCTTTTAACAATATCACAAATTTTGCACCAGTTTTCGAAGCAGAAAGAACATAAAGATCAAGTTGAATTTCTACCAAAGAATGAATATCAAAACGTACTATATTAAAAACCAAATCCAGTAGAATCAAGCTGCAAATCACACTAGAATCAAGATCGGCTACAGTTCATCAAATTCCATATATATAAAATCGGGCCATAAAAATCAAACTACAAACTCAAAGATTTAAATTCAATTAAAAGATGAATTAAAAATATAAAGAAATGAGAAGCTTAAACATTCTCATCTTACGAGAATAACGAACTGGAACTCAATGAAACGCTGGTGAGGGAGTGGTGATGAAGGAATCCAAAGTGGAAAAGCCGAAAAGGGATAGGGTTTACTGCTTAAACGTTCGTGAATGAAAAAGAAAAACTGAAAATGGCTTAACCCTACAAAATCAGAAAATAAATATGGGTTGAAAAAAAAATCATAAAACGACGACGTTTTGTTTAATTAAAAAAATACAGAACCGCTTGAACCGGTAGAACCGCCGGTTCACACTGGTTTTGCCGGTTCACAGCCGGTTCTTTGCACATCCGGTTTTATATGTTGACCGGACCGGACAAGTAACCGGTTCGTGGTTCAACCAGTCGAACCGGCCGGTCTGGTCCGGTTTTAATAACCATGGTAAATATTATTATTATTATTATTATTATTATGTTGCATTTTGAGAGCCACTCATTTGGAGATTTTTGGGATAAAGCTCAGTTTTAAACGGGGGAGTTGAAAACCAATTAGAACCAGCAACAAAAATATCAATTTATTCTTTTGTTTTTCCGACCCAAAGTGTGAACATGTACGTTCAACAAAACAATAAATTGCTAACACCAAACTCTGCTCAACCTTACCTCCGATGAACCCCTACCAGTCTCGGATTAATCATCTAGCGACCCTGGTGAACCAAGTGAATCAGTAACAAGGACACCAACCATTTATTCTCCTGCAGCAGCAGCGAACGGCAAGGAGAATACTTTTCCCCTCGTCCGATAACCTGCAACTCAAAACAATCCAATCGACTCATAACAATGTAAAATAAAGCAAATGGGAAGATGAAGGTCGACGAGAGGTCAGGGTTTTTTTATGACGTTAAGGGCTTTATCTTGGAGATCCCAACGGTCAAAAGCATTTAAGAGAGGAGAGGAACAACATATCTCGATCTTAACTCAATCGGACGGTTGTCAGCGGCGAACGAAAGTCATTTATGTTAAGGAAACCAAACGATTTTTGTTAAATTTACGATCATTCATCATGATTTTTGGTGAACGAAGGCCATATCTGTGATGAGGAAAGCGAGACGAGTCTAATGGTGTGCTTTAGATCTTGAATGACGATTGATGACGGTGGTTTGCATGGAGATTGCCAACGATCAGCGGTGGCCAGTGATCGGTTGAATTAGCAGCTTGCTTGTGATGTGAGAGCTTTCGGGAGAAGGGAACGAAACAAAGTGGGAAAATAAGAAATGCAAATTTGGTTCAGAGAACACGTGGGTTTTAAGAATATTGATAAAGTGAAAAAATAGAAAATCACAAGGTAAGTCATCCAAGTTTTGTGAGATCTTTACCTTGTCTTTTAATTTTCAAGTGGTTATAGTTATGACATTATAGTTTCTATAAGATCAATTTAGTTCCGAATTTAAGTAATTAAATATTTTGATGGGATCATTATCTTTTAGTTTTACCAATTGAGTCCTCAAATTATTATTTAGATTCTAATAAGTTATTTATGCGGTGAAGGAAATTATTTTGTATTCGAGTTCGTATATTTGATGGTCTGAGTTCGTGGGAAAAAAACTTGAAGCTCGACCCATTACCTTTCGATCTATCTGTATGTTTAAGTCTTGATTAGTCGTATGGTTCCGCAACCCTTTTAAATAATTCCTTTAGAATATTACTCCGGTGTAACTTTGTTCTGATATAATGTATGATGGTGCACTACTTTTTATCGTAGCGAGACCAATGCTAACTAGATTTCCTGATCCGACCCATTTTGCGAGATGTGTTCCTTGTGTACAATATAAATGTTTTAAATATCTGTTTGAAATCTCATGTGCACATGAATGTTTTCTCTTATTTGAAATATAATATTTGATATGATTTGATTATTGTATAAATTACCTGTTTTGAAACCTTATTCTTGATTTACTGAAATGTAAAGCATGATTGCCTGAATTATTATTTCTGGTTATTGTTTTAATGAACATATGATATGTCTGAACTCTGTTTTACTACTACTGATTACTGTCTGAAAAATGTTTTATTTTGCGCACTCTAGATCTGGTATGAAGACTCTGGCAGGTTCAGTCGCTGTTGGTAATTCTTTGGATAGGTTTAGCATCGACTGGTAATTCCTTATAGACCTAAGGCGACCCTTGGTAGGATTTACGGCCCTGAGATTTTCTTGGGTAAGCCTCTGTGGTCTCGAGAATTGTCTTGGGTAGGCTCTCAAGCACCAAGGTACTCTCTTAGGTAGTGCAGTTTTGGGAAACTGCGTATGGTGTTCGGTTAGAGGATGATACGAAGTTTTTAAATTAAAAATTCCTATGATGTTTTAATGACTGTGATATGTAGTGATTTTAAAAAGCATAACAATATGTTTTTATTTTTGCATTGTTGGGACACATTGAGCCTTAGCTCATTTTTCAAATTGTTTTACCCCCTTTCAGATATTCTCGGATTGGCACTCCGTATTAGACACTTGGAGGATTAGCATATTTAGTACAAATCTTTTTATTGTAATGTTTCTATCTTTCGAATTGCTTTTAATTATGGTGACATGTGCCTTATTTTTTAAGTACTTATCTTTTTATATGATATTTACTGCTTTTGCTACTGATATATGATTTATTGTGCTCCATATTTGTTTCATGTTTTATTTTATCTGGTCACTTTTAGTTTTATATTTACAAGTTGGGTTTTTATCGTTAATTATTATATTTTTATAAATGTTATTTGTAATATGATTTTAAATTATCGAATAATGTTTTTGGAAAAAGTTTTTACGAATATTTAATGCAATCCGCTAGAGTTAATCGAAACGCATAAGCTAGGTCTAGGGGTTAAACTTAATTAGTATCAGAGCTTTTGACTTTTAAAACCTCGTACTATGGATGAGTCCAAAATAAAACACCGATTTAAAATGTTTTATAAAATTAGTTACAAAGGTCATGTCACTAAGTTTTTACAAGTTTAATTATTTACGAGACTCCAAGCGTCAAATATTATCATAAGACTTACCTTTGTATAGCAAGTTCTGAAATTCTTTGATATTAGTGTTAGACGAGATCGTCGACTTTCTCGAGGGCAAGGTCGAGCCACTGAATTCTCTGATTTGATAAATGATATGTATGTAGATTTTATATCTCTGTTAGCTTATTCTACCTCTCGAGTACCTGTAACTCCGATAGATCTGCCACTTTCCCTAGGTAGTGATATGATCACTCTGGTTAGAGGAAAGTTAGAACGCTTTTTATCTCAAGCAACCTCTTTTGATCTATTAGTGAATATGTTTACTTATCTATATAACCCTAATTTCCTCTGATAATTTATATTCATATTTAGAAAATTCTACGAGATCTTACGTCTGTTAAGTTAGTTGAGTTAAAAGAGTCATTATCACAATAGCTTGATTTGATAATTGGACAATTAGATTGATAGAGTATGGTGTTGATCTGAATTTTGAAATTAAGAAGGTTATTTTAAATGCTACGATAATAAAAGAGTAGTGGTAATCGGGCAGTGACTTGAACCCCGTTAGATATTGCATTGATTGAAGTGGACTTGAAGATGATCAAGCAATGACCTAAAGTATTATGTTTATGTCATGAATAATAAGTCTCAGACCTCATAATTGAGGGTTATAAACTAATGAGAACAAGAATTTTCTTTTGCCAATCAGAAACTTGTTTGACTTGTTCTGAGTGACACCTCTTTCTTCTGAATATATATTCAGAATTTAATCCTCGTTAGTTAAGCTGGACATTTCTGATGATCTTAAGATATTTATTTGTACGTGCTCGATCATGTT